GGCGTTCATCCCAGCGTTTGGTCGTGACAGTGAGGGCTTGTGTCGTAAGCTCTCATGGTAATATAAAAAAACTGTGCCAAATCCGATTCCATATTCTGACCTCTCCCTCTCTCTCCCTCCCCCTCTCTCTCCCCCTCTCTCTCTGTGTGTCTCTCTCTCCCTCGATCCGTTCCCCCTCTCTCTCTATCTCTCTGTCTTTCTCTACCTCTAAATCTGTATTTCCCTCTTTCTCCCTCCCTTCGTAACATCATAACATAACTGCCCCTCTCCATCCATAAGCCCCGACATTTGCTGGGTTGAGAAAAAAATAGCAGACTTCTAGCGACATCTAAACAAGTGAAACAGTAAACAAACTCGTTTCATCATTCAAATATGTTCAACAGAACAATACATGTACTGTTTTATTAACTCCCACTGCTCAATATTTGCGCCGCTTACCTCACGCAAAAATATATTTCCCGCCCGTAACATAACTCGTGTCGAACCCACCCAACCCCACCCCTTGCTCCAAATAAAAACACACAAAATATCCAAAAATACCCTACCACCACACCCCGCCCCCTTCTTTACTCCCTCCCCATCCTCACCCCAGCTCCTCCCACAATTAAAACAAACAAACAAAAAGAATGCCACCATCCCCCCCCCCCCTCACCTTTTTGGTTTGATTTATTGCGTTATCTTTTTCCTCACCTCGAATAGCTTTTTTTTCGATATATATATATTTACGGCCCTTGTTGTTATATTCTATTCCTGTGCCCCCACACTTTGCTTTTATCAGTTTTGCATTTTAAATAGTGAGTGCTTATTTGGGCTACATATTATATAGCCTAGGCAGGGTTACCACCCCCTGGGTAGCCTTATTTGGGCTACTCTTTGCTTTTTTCGTCATGGTAACTGATCTCTAGAATTGAAGAGTTCGTTTCGTTTTCCCAGTTTGACATCTCTTTGTCATGATCAGACATGAGTTTAGTTTTAGTTTTATTTCTGTGCTTGCCAACAATATATATATATATATCCCTTCCAGAGTACAAAAATGATCAACTATAATTTATTATATGATCATAGATATATTCTTGAAAAAAAAAGAAAGAATGATAGTTGCTGGTTTTGGCCCCCCCTAAGACTAAGAGTACTGAAATAACGATAGTAACTTTATATTGGTCAGGGGTAGAGTTCAGGTATTAAGGGTGTAAATTGAAGGTTATAGAAATCATGGGGGCTGGGACCAAAACAGTGTTCTAACAATTTAAGACTTGAGAATACCTATGGATTTCAGTTAAATGGATGCATTGTTACATTATCCGCATAGATTTATTTGATCTTGGAGGGCGAATCTAGATCGGTGTGATGCGTTGAAACTTCATTTGATTTGCTTTGCTGCTTTGCACATTCACTACACTCGGCTTAGATTCACATTCTGCATTTGTGAGGCAGTGTGGTGGAATCAGGCTCTCGTCAAAATAATCAAAGTGAAGAAACTTGCATTTTTGTGCAGGTTTGTGAATTTTTATCAGATTTTTGTTTTTTGGCTCAACACCTTTCATGCCCATTAAATAACTCATTTTTGTGTGGATTTTTCTGAAAAATGTTGATTAAAGACACAGAAAATGTAAATTTTCAGTTACCACGGACTCTTAAGCAAAGGAAATAACTAATCTTTGGCGGCCATTTTCTCTCTAATTTTACCTCTGAAAACAGGTGACCCCCACCTCCTTCATTCGCAAATATCTCGACTTGTATTCAAGATAAATGGATATTTTTTTTCCATCCAAATAAAGACAAGTGAACAAGCTTTAAGATGATACCAATAACACTACATGCCCAAAAATTGACGAGAGCCTGATTCCACCACGCTGCCTCACATGTAGTAGGTCTAGAGTTTAGCTTCCTCTCAGCGAAAGTTTCGCTAAAAGGCTAAGATAAGGCGAACTATATCAAGATCACAGACATGGAGTTGCAGCCTTTAAGCCTTGCAGGTTCAGAGGGAGAGATCTTTGGTTTTGTTGGCGAGTGTACCCAAATGAGGTTACCCAAGGCTGATTACGTTATTTGGGCTATAGTGCTTATTTGTGTTACAATTTGTTTTTGTGGGTGGTTGGTGGGTGCTCTGCTGTGGTTTGCTTCTTCTTTCCTATCAAACATCTATCGTCCTTATCTCCCCTTTTTCTTTTTTGTGTTTGTTACTCTCTTGTAACACCTCTAATCTTCTGGCGCTCATATGACCTTATACAGTTGCGAGCGCCGTAAAACCTCTACTAGGTACAAGTACAATAGGTTTTATCATTTTTTTTTGGTGGGGGGGGGGGTATTTTATTTCTTTTTCATAAATGTTGGTTTCAAGTGAATGGCTTCTTGTTTGAACTTGTAAGTTGTTATAAACACATTGAAATGTTGCTAGGGCTGTTTAAAGCAGGATGGGTGGTTGGAGGGTGCTATGGCGTGGTTTGCTCCTTTTTTCTCATCGAACATCTATCGTCCTTATCTCTCCTTCTTTTTTGTGTTTGTTACTCCCTTGTAACACACCTTATCTTCAGCACTTATATATATGGCCTTGTTGCGTTGCAAGTGCTGTAAAACTTTTTACGAAATTTAAGCAGGTGGCTGGAATGCTGACTTGTGAATTTCAATCTTGTAATTCTAAAGAAGGTTGTCTACTAAACAATATATCTAATTGGGATGGGGGTTTTCATTTAGATTTAAATGTTTAAAAAAAACTTTAGTAATACGGTACCCTGATTTTGAGAGCTGGCTGAGTGTCTTTCAACGGGATAAATTCATTAAATTCTTTCCAATGAAATTATCACTTTCGAAGAATGAATTCTTTGGTTTTTTTAAAATGTATTAATATTAATATTAAGCAAGTTTTATATCATCAGGTGGACAAATCTATCTCATATTATCTTATCTTATCCATCTTATCCTATCTTTAATCTTATCTTATCCTAATCTTATTTATCTGTCTTGTCTTATCTTATCTTTATTTGATCTTTTTCCTTTTCTTGTCTAATCTTTATCTTGCCCTAATATGATCTGAATCATACCTTTATGTTATCTTAATCTTATCCTTATCTTAATCTTAATTTAATCTTATCTTAATTTTTATCTTATCTTATCCTTTATCTTAATTTTTATTTTATCTTATCTTACCTTACCTTAAACCACTGTGGTGGGTGAACAATTACTGTTGGGGGAAGACATGTACTGATCAGACATGAGCCTTAACTCTCCTGCCCCTCTCAGCATGGCCATCACTAACCTGATTGTGAAGCCGCTGACAATCTTCCTGGTCTACCGAGTCTACCAGAGCCGGTCCAGCGGCTCTGAGTTCAACGCTGGGATCCCAGGCATCTCGGGCATTGGTCAGTATTGCTATCTCTATGTGTGTGTGTGTGTGGGTGGGGGGGTGTGTGTATGTGCCGGGATGTGGGGGTTTGTTGGTGTCTATAGTGTTTGTAGGTTTGTGTGTGCGGACCACTCTGACGGTTGGATCTCCAACCGGATTATGATAGAGACTATAAGCAGACAGACTCTGGGATGGATCCTCAAGAGGGGGAGGGGGAGCAGAGATGGACATGTACGGCTGTAGTGACCCTGACACTGTGGACAAGGTGTGACAAGGTGTATAGTGTTTGTAAAAGGGAGG